AGTACCCCCTTTGGAGCAGCCCTGTGTGGAACTGTTAGCCCTCAAGGGAAGGCAGGGGCAGATCATGGGCATTTCCTGCCATCCAAGGAGGCTTCCATAAAAGCAGAGCTGATACATAACGCTCTGGTTCTGGGCTCACCCAAGAAATCGTCACGTTCTGCACATAACTGCTTAACCTCACAACAGTATTAGGCTTCCCGCTCGACACGGGCTGCGCCCTCCGGAGATCAGCGGGGAGCAGCCCGTGGGTTCTGGACTTAGTGACCACACAAATAGGTACTTCTTCTTCATTGCACGTTAGACACCTTTAACGTTGTTTCAACTGTGCCCTTAGCACGACAATATGGGGATGCATGCTTCACCTGTTTGGTCCCAACACCCGGGCGAGTGGGGCCAGTGTATACGGACATTTGGACTTTTTTCTAATCGGTACGAGTTATGACGATCGGACTTTTGAGCTTGCTTGTGTGCCGTAGGATCTGACTTTGTTGGACATTTTTACCTAGCCAGCAGATGAAAGATGTCGTTGTGTACCTCAGTGAGGTGATGACGACGCTGAGGATTGACAGAGGATTTTACGTAGGTAGGATCTGACTGCGAAAAACCACCCACAAGAGATGTTACTCGTCTTGGCTGGGGGTAAATCTCTTGGTCAAGGGTTGAGTCTCAGCAGCACAGTTTTCCATTCGCTCCAGAATTTTAACCGAGAGTTGTCATTTGGTGGTGCATTTGCCAAGCAGCCTTTACTCATGTACGAATGAGTTTTGATAGACTTTTCACCCATGCGTTTGGGGGCAGGCTGATAAGGACCAGAAAGGACACTACACCTCTGGGGGCCGCCAGCTCCGAGATCCCCTGCCAACTCTGTTAATGCTCATTTGAGACATCCGTGGTGCACGACGGGGACGTGCAGCAGGAGTCTTGCATGAGGTTCCATAAAACCAGAACAGTGAAGGACTGGCGCCCTAGTGACAGACGGAGTATCTCCTTATACACATCACATCAGACTTAACTTTCCCTCACGCTTGTGACCTAAATCACCGCGCCACTGTTACAGATCTGTAAACAACACTGGCCTGAAATATATTACTTTATTATGTTGAAAACATTCAACACCACAATGTCATAACTAAATTGGTCAATATTGTTTGGTGTAGCAAAGGCAACATGAGTTAATTATCACTGGTGTAACAAAGATATCGTAAATGTACATTGACATGAATAGTTTGTAAACATAGCTTTAATCCTCTTCACATTCTTCTCATCATTCATCGGCTAATAAAAGGTTCTTGTTGTTCATCCACTTCTGGACTTTGGTCTTGTTCCAGACCATTAGTTTTACATGCACATCAATTTCTCAGATCTGGCTTATTTGTATGCAGACTGTTGGTTCCTCGCCTCTCAGCCAGATGCACTCTAACTTCAAAGGAAATATCCCTAACTAGTTGCCTTGTATTATATTCTTGTTAGAGGGCAGTAACTCATATTTCTCCTCCACAATGGGGCCCTGGAACCCACAAGAGAAGCCCTAATATCCATGGCAAAGTGGCCATGCTGGTTGCCTCATGCTGTAAAGGGCGTGGGATCATTTCACAGACATGTCAATCAGTTCACTTTTGCAGCTTTTACAGAGATCCATGGGGATCATCACTGGAGCTACAGAGTCAGTGCTTTGTGAAAATCTCTTGACAGACGGCTAGCTGTTCTGTCGAGGGAGACCAAGGTATATAGGATCATCCGGTGCAATGACATCAGTCTTCTTAACTTTGACTTAGCATTGACTGTGGTCATATTTTCTTCTTCTTCTTCTTCTTCTTCTTTTGTCCTCCAACTTATGCCATAAATTGTCAGAGAGAGTAGTCATATGTAGTTTCCTGTCTTTTGCAAGTTGCCTAGCTTGTGTTAATATCATATTGTATTTCTGTAGTGTCTCTTTTAATCCCTCCACCCATCTCTTTCTTGGTCGGCCTCTTGACTTGTATTCTGCTGTTCTCATGTCCTGAGTGTTACAACTCCAATTTAATTTTGATTTCCTCTTTTTCTTATTCTGAACATATGCATTGGAACAATTAAATCCTATAATGGCTTTCTGGACCTGCCCTAGAATCATTTCTGCCACACACAAAATCTGCCATTACTGCCTTATCCTTATTTAACACTTTTGTGGTGTAGATCTCGGGGTAGGAGGTCTTTGAGATTGAGATTCAATGCTGCATGACTGTGCTGTGGCCATGGACTATGCACATTGATATTTCATGTTAAGCCCTATGTGCTTTCATAGCCAAATCACCTTTAATTTCTTGTATCAGTTTCGCTGAAATCGGCTTCTGCCTCATTTTCCAGACCCCCCCCCCCCCCCCCCCAACCGCCCCCTCAACCCCAGCAAGCTTGTCATAAAGGTTACTGGTTAGAGGTTTCAGTGTTTGCTGAAGTCAGAATTTTGGGCCAAAGGATACAGAAATTGCAGGCTAGCTGTAAACCTTAACACAATGTGCCAAATTACCCTTTAAGGGCAAACACAGAAAAAGAAACAACTTCTTTAGAAACAAATGTAACATTAAATAGTAGTAATATAAATTATATAGTAGACTTTGTAGTTCTTTAAGATAAAAGCTCTTAATTTTACACAATAGCCAGTTTGTAACATGGAAAGTAATATAAAAGACTGTAACATGGAAGATGATATAATTGTCTGTGGTAACTAAACGTGAGTATTTGAGTACTTCATAAACAATAATTATCATTCACATTTGTCACATAACTGAAGAGCATGTGGAATTATATTATGGACTAGTATTTACAGAAAACATATTTTATTTGAATACTTTTGATGATTTCAAAATCATCATTTCATGGAATGCAAAAATACTTTATGAAACATGATAGATTTGAAGGATCACCTTTTGCATTTATGCATCTTTCACAGTAATCAGTTTTTAAAATGGAATATACTCTGACATTATTACATTTATTCAAGATCACCTTTCATATTCAAACAATAACCAATTTATTTATCTGAGATCACCTTTCACATTCATACAATAATCAATTTAAAACATGGAAAAAGATATTATGACACATGGTATATATATCAACTTTCACCTTTCACATTAATGCAATAACCACTTTATATCATGGAAAATGATATTATGGAACATGGTAACTATCTAAGTTCACCTTTCACCATATTATAAAATGATATTATCAGGTCTTACCACATAATTTTCTAAAAATATGATCAACATTCATACTCATAAAATACCAGTTTATCTGTACATAATTATAGAATAACCCATGAGCATCTTCTAAAATTGTCAGTTGAGATAAGAATCTTCTCTGTTCACACACACACAAAAAAAAACTTAGTTTATAAACATGAAAAACAAACAGCTGTTTCAAGAATACACGTAAAGAAAATAATGACCCAATTTCTAGTAGACTGATACAGGAACTTTTGCTTCCTCACAACTTTTACTCTTCAAAGCTTTTTATCCATATTTGTTTATGGATAATTGTTCATGCTATGAAACAAATCTATGGTCATTATCTTTGAGCTATCCTTTCTCTTCTTCCCATTAACACGACAGGTATGTGTGTGTGTATGTTGAAACTTCTCTCCTAAAAATAAAATCCTCGAGGATAATTAAGGATCACACTACGGCATTAAAAATCTACTATTTTAATGACATAATATTAGTCATATTATCTAAATACATATAGTAAGAACAACCCAGAAATGCATAAATAAAGCAATATTTCAAACAATAATACAAGTTATATAATTGTCGTTAACAATTAATTAAACTAAATATAAAACACAAATATATACCATGAGAACTCAATGAACTCTTCATATCCAATTTCAACCCTGAGGGGTGAACAGGATATTTTAGTGAAAATTACTTCTACATGGCCAAAAAATACTGAATGTTTTCCTATTATTTCAGCAATAAACTTGCTTTATTTCACTTCCTCTACTTAGTTAGTTAGTTAGTCTTTCCTCTTGTGTCGAGTGCGGCACATAGAGCAGAGGTCATGACTATCCATGCATGGCGGTTCGTTGCAATCTGTTGTAGGTCTTGGATGTTTTAGTGGCCCATGAGCGAGCCTTCCCTGATGATAGTTCTACGTAGAGTTTCCCTTGGTCTTCCACGAGATCTTTTCCCCTGTGGTGTCCAAATGAGGGCTTGGTAAACTAAACAACTTAATTAAACCACATAATAATGATGAATTTAAATGTACACACATACTGGTAGGGTTAATGACGAGGGACCAAGAATGGCTAAAAGCTAATGACCATAGAAATGTTTCCACTTTTTTTAACCAACTTGTTTTCAGTTGCTGAACTCCAAACCCTTACATAAGACTGCAGCATACTTAATAACCACAGGGGTGCCCTAATATAACTCTTTTATGTAGTTGAGTGGGGTTTCTCAGATTCACTCCTTTAGGATTCAATGTGCGAACCAACCAACTTTTTTTTTTAAGGGGTACAAATTGGGCACGCAGGCTCGTCTTACATTCGGCCCTTCCAAGCCCTCATCTTTCAGACCACATTTGCATGTTATCAACAAAGCATGTTATGTCACTGTACAAATATACGTAATGAAATAATGCATACACATATTATATATTCACAATCATATACACTCAAAAGTATACATGTACACATACTCATACATGCCTACATACATATATACATACGTACATACATACGTACATACATATGTACGTATGTACGTACATACATGCATACATACCTACTTACACACACATACATACATACATACATACATTCAAACATGGACATAATAAACACATACATACATACACATACATGCACCCATACATACGTAGATACATTCTCATAGTTGAGCTGCTGACCCCATGGACATCAACCCTGGAGGGGAAAGGACGACCGCCACTGTTACGTACTGCAGAGACAATTAAGCTCAACCAGTTTTCCCACCTTTTTGTGTGTCAGATTGTTCATTCACTAATTATGATTGATGTGTGAATTCTTCATCTACTGGCTTCCTCCTCCTTTGTTTCTGATGGACCTCTTCATCCGAGGAACTGCTCAGAAACATTTTTGCTTTACTCAGGAACATACTCACTGAAAATAAGATAAGATTGTCAGTTATGAATTTGTGCATTTCAATAAAACAAACAAAAAATCAGCAAAGAGCATACAGCAGTACTTTTCTACCATGTCATCTTCTTTATCTTCCTAGTGTTCAGTGGATGTAAACTCAGCAGAAAACTCTGGTCGTTAGTCCACTTCTGAACTTTAGACTTGTTCTTGTTCTTCTTCTTGTTCTTCTTCGCATACACCAGCTGTAAACTCCGGCAGAAAGTTCTAGTTGTTTGTCCACTTCTGGACCCCAGTCCTGTTCCAGAACCTGAATGTTGCATGTACATCCGTTTCACAGGTCTGACTCATTTGCATGCAGACTGTTGGTTCCTTGCCTCTCAGGCAGATACACTCTGACTTGGAAGGAAGCTCCCAATTAGTCAACTCTTACGACATGCTTTTGGGCAGGTAGTTGGTCTATTCTTGTTTTCCCCCACAATGAGGCCCTGGAATTTGTTCTTGAACTTTAATTTTGCATGCACATCCATTTTATAGATCTGATTTATCTATTTACAGACTGTTGGTTCCTTGTCTATCAGATATATGCTCTCCAACTAAAAAAAAACAAAAACCTAATTAGCTGCTATTTATGACATTTTTTAAGGGGTCAGTGGGTCAATCCCCCTCCCCCGACAATGAGACCCTGGAACCCACATGGAGAAACCATATATCGAGAACATTTGTAAGTACATCACCCTTATAAAACATGTGTATTTCCAATTTGCTTTATTACAGCCAATATCAGTGCCCCAAGACCATTTCATAACTGCCCAATCTCACTCAGCAGATATTGAAATGTTTGTATTTTGTCAATTTCTCTAAACTGCGGTATCATTTTTAAATACGCTATTTTAATCCAATCTATTTAAATAGTTACTCAGTCTATTTCAGTTGTCACTCTGTTTAAATTGTCAGTCTGTCTATTCCAGTTGCCATCTAATCTATATTCAATTATGATGATAATAGGTGTTATTTTCATATTGAAACATGCAACAATGAAAGATGTCCATTTTCTTGATCATGAACTGTGGTTTCATAAATCATCAAACTCACCTTTAGGAATCTTTGGCAGATCCAGAAATATTCTTTTGTTTGCTGGAAAAAAAAATGAAAGTTTATCAATTAAATTACTAAACTGTGAAAACAATTTGTGCGATTCTTATACCACTGCCTGAAAACCATAAGATATGCCTTACTTCTAAACTACCAACAGAGAAATCAAAGTCTGGTACACTAAGGCTGGGAAACACATTCACTAACTATGAAGCTCCAGAACTTAACTCTTTATACATACTCAAAAGCCACCTTCTTTTTAAACCTCCTAAAAGACAACATTAAAGTCAAGAGGATCAGCGGCATTGCACTGGGTTTTATCCTATATAGCTCAGTCTCTCTCAGCAACAGTGGATCAGCACCTACTAAGATTTTCACACAAAGCACGAACTCCATAACCCTGGCAACGATCCCCAGAGATCTCTGTAAAAACTGTACTTGTGAACTCAGCTGTGAAACGAACCCATGACCTTTAGAGCGTGAGCCGTGCAAGACAGCTTGACACCCCGTCTCTACGGAGATCCCCTACTAAACTTGCTAATCTTCAGGTCTTGACTGGTAGCCGTAATGTGAAGATCATTGGTTTACACCAGTCTACAACTGGAGATTCCACTGGATGTCAAGAATATATATATATATAACACCAATAATTTGCAGAAACACTGGATCAACTTATTTTGATTGACTGGTCAACTCCAGCATGCTGCCTAAAGGTTTACCACCCTGAGATAAAAGTTCTCAGTCTGGATGGCAGACATACAAGGTAGATGCTAGATACCTGGTTTAAACTAAACAAATACATTTTAAAACTGGTGAAATTAGGGCACTTGTAATGGCTACAGTAGCCTGGCGTGACCTGCATCCATGTGTAAAACGCACACTTCCTGTCCTTTTTAGGATTACATTTTTCGTTATTTGAAGCCCTACTCTGGCTTTTGCCAGGGGCCGCAACATAGCCTGGCCATAAATATGGCATAAAGGCTGAACGTGGTTTCTGGGATCTCTCCACAGTGATCCTCACCCACATGGTGGCACATTGTGTCATCAGGTGTTTATCGCTTGTGTGATTTCCTGGTGGGGTAGAAAGTCAGTCAGTCAGTCTGCATTTATGTGTAGGCAAGAACCAGAAGTACTGGAGAGGACTATGAGCTGTACACAGGGAGTCTCCATGGCAATACGGTTTAGCCATTGGTCTTGTCCTTTGAAGGTCATGGGTTGAACTTCAGACCATGTCTTCCAGTTTACAGTTCATGTGTTTGGGATGTCCGTGCAGACGCCAGTGGAGCTTCAACATTTTGCTTTAACTCTTTGGGTGCCAGAGGGTTTTGCATATTTTTCCAAGGGGTGCCATAACCACTATGGATAGTCACAGAGGTACAACTTGTATAAGGCAAAGTACATAATGACTGGCAGTAACCACACAGGAAGCCAGATTTCAGTAGCATTCTCTAACCAAATGGGAACAGTGCAAGAACACGATTTGTAATTCTTTGGATTCAGTGAAAATAACTATTGACACATCATGCATTGCTTGGAACTCATTGAGTTAATCTGGGTGGTGATTAAGATAAATTATTTTATCTCCATGGCCTCTAGAGTTCCTCAGGAATTTATTGCTGTTTACTGGTCTCTTCCCAAAAGTTACTGTAGTTTTTTCATGGTAATTGTAACATTAATTTACAAAAACTAGATAAATAAAATTACAGGTTATTATTTAATATACTTAACAAAAGAATGTTGCCTTTATAATCTATGTATATATTTATATATGCACATACACACACATAAACCCAAGCAGGCAATAAAATTAGTTTAAGCATGTGCTGAACACAAGCCTATTAGCACTTTAAAGTGACATTAACATTTCAAGATGCTAACAAAAAAAAAAAGTATAATAAAATGGAAGTTAAATTTGCTTTATGGAGTTAAAGAGCAGTATTTAAAAGCAATCAGATCAATTTGCAATAAGGAAGATTCATAACTAACATTTCTTTCAAACTGTCAGATTTTGTGAAAATTTTGTAAGTGAAAGTAATTTCTTCTTATTCATCTTCTTATATGGTTCGATGCTGACCACATTAGCCACAAAGTGCCAATTGGCCTATAAAATATAGTTCCAGCCCTGTATGCCCAATACGCCTAAAGGTGTGGAAAATGGTCCCTTACTTCTCTGAAAAAAATTTGTTTTCGATAATGAAACCTCTTCTTATAGTCCACGCCTTGAGGTGCTAGGTAGTCATGACAGTCGACATCCTTTTGGCTCATGCTCATGCAATTTTTTACCTCCTAAAAGACAACTTAAAAGTCAAGAGGATCAGCGTCATTGCACTGGGTTTTATCCTATATAGCTCAGTCTCTCTCAGCAACAGTGGATCAGCGCCTACTAAGATTTTCACACAAAGCATTTTCAATAATTTCTCACACAGATGAACTTCCATACCATGTCCAGCATCTGCTCTCTTGGTCTCCTGCATCTTTCCCTTCCAACTTTCCCACTGCCACAATGTGCTCCAGTTTTTGTTTCTTTTCATAGGATGCCCAAAGAGTGTGGTCAGTCTTTGTGAGTCAGTTTCTTTCATGACATCTTCATTACTCTTTTTTATCTGTCTATGGTGTTCTCATCACCTGTCAACAAAACAACATCTCTGCTGCTTCCACACAATGTCCATGATTCACTTCCATATATCAAGTAATTTACAAGTCCTACACAGAATGTTGGTGCTTCGGGGTTGTAAATGCAGTTTCTCAATCCTAGTATACTAGGTTCAAGATCAGCTACATACATTTTGGTAGCTCTGCTTTAATGATGGCAATGATATGTGTAGTGTATGATTCAGAACGCGATGGCAAACTACTAAGCATAAAATTGTCTACTAAAAACACAAACAGCTCCCCCACTCCAGCCAAAAAAAGCAACATGCTGCCTGTTGTTTTGTTTGAAAGTCCTGAAGAGGTCATGCAAAAATGTTAGCGGTAATGTTTTTATAAGTTACTGTTCTTTACTAATCATGCTATTAGATTTTCTGAAAGAAGACATGCTTTTCTGTTCACTTAACTGTTTTCACCTATCTCAGTGACTATATTATCTAAATCATTGTTCACACATTGTCTATATAGCTCCCCTCTGAAACTATGTCTGCCAATGTGATTTATTACGTTAATTAACCTCATAGTTATTTTCTGACAAACACAAGGAGGTTGAACATTTATTCTGTGTTTTATTTTAAACTGAGGAAACATCAAAAAGCATTTAAAAAAAAAAATAACACAAATACTGTAAAAGATCATGTTTGCATTCTCTACTGAGATTTTTAAAAAGAAATGCAAGTGAAACAAGATAAGAATTTATATTTTACACACGTCAGTTGTTTGCCCCAATTATCTCACATTGTGTATATCTGTGCAGAAGATAATTTGCATTAAACACATGTGTAAAATTAATTATTTGTGTAATTGTAAGTGAATATAACATGCCCATAATAGCTTCATCTTTAACTTTTTGTTTTGATGCTTTTTTCCTTCCATAAAAATCATTCATATTTGGTTCTATGAAGAAATTAATGTCACATACTGGAATCTCTTGGCTATAAAATTAACAAGAATGGAGACAGTTAAAACAGAAGTCAGAAGAGGACTGGCCATGACAATGCAGACTTGATCAGCTTTAAGTTTTTATGGCTACAAGTTGGGTAAACAAAAACACAAAAAAAGGCTGAAAAGTATGTATACCTATTAAAACATCCTAAGGAATCATACGTATATGACCAAAAGGTTTTTGAGATTAATCCCAAATAAACTTGATAGCAGATACAGCCATGAAATTGCAACAACATCTAACATCCATGAATGAAGAATGTAAAACAAATAATATGAGAATCAACACTGAAAAGACAGAAGTAATGTCAATAGGAAAAAAGAAGACAGATCTAAACATAGCAATAGAATACAAAGGCAATAAACAGGCATCTGAGTTTAAATATCTGGGAACTACATTTACCGAAGATGGGAAATTGGATAAAGAAATTGACATTAGATGCAGTAAAGCAAACCAAGTATTGGGACAGCTAGCCCCCCTCTTACAGCATAAGACAATCCCAATCAGCACAAAGAAACATCTTATTCAAAGCATATTTATTCCAACTCTGTGCTACCAGTGCCAGACATGGTCACTCACAACAAACCATAAAAGAAAATTAGTAACCACGGAAATGAGATGTCTGAGAAGGGCTGTAGGAGTGACCATAAGAGATAAGATCAGGAATGAGATCATAAGAGAACAAGTCGGCACAGAACCAATTCTAAATTACATATAAAGACAGCAAGTGAAATGGTTTGCCTACTTAGAGAGAATGCCTTGTGACACCATACCATACAAAGCATACATGGAAAGAGAAGAAGGACGTAGAGCACGGGGTAGACCAAGAACAAGATGGAAGGATAACATCAGAGAAACTCTACAACAGCACGATGTGCCTATGGTCGAGGCAGTCAGAAGAGCTAGAAACAGAACCTTATATCTCCCTCGACACCCACAGCGGTAAAAGAGGAAGTGAAGAAGAAGAAGAAGAATACTATTGATCAAGGAGAAGAAAATACAGATATTTTACAAGATTTGAATGCTGAAAACAAAAAACAGCATAAATGGCATAAAGTCTTCGAAACTGAAATACTTCAGTCATGTTAAATGTTACAACAGCTTCTTCCTCTGCTGCTGATGGTCCCTGCGTTTGGATCCGCAGCCTTCATCCTCGTGTATTTTCAATCATTTCTGACTCAGATGATCTCCCAAGCCATGATGGCTAACTGTCTCACATCTTCTCTGTAGTGACTTCAGAGGCCTGCCACATCTCCACGTTTACTCCTAATGTACAATTTCTCAAAGTGAATATAAGTGTTAACCTTATTTTCTCATTGTACCTTATAACACTCGTAGAACGTGGATACTGAATTTAACTGATTCTATGCCAAATAAGAAACAGTGAGATTAACTAGACCCCACTCACCTGTTGATTTGAGGACCAGTCTTTTATAAACTTGTCTCATTCGTTCTAAGTTCACCCTGCAAGCTTCAGCATGCTGCACCATAGGCAGTGGGTAGTCCTTGCCTATGATGCATTTTGCTGCCTTCTGAACTGACTCTGGTGCTGTCCAAGGCTCATATATGTACTGGGTTGGAATCCCTTTAAGAACGGGTAAATAATGTCTGTGGAAGATAACATTATATTATTAACTGTGCCCATGCCTTACGTAGCGTGTTTTTCAATAGGTAAGACCGGGTCTTATATTAATTTGGCTTTAAAAAAAGCACTAAGGTTTGCTTTGGGAAGGGGGAGGGGGGATTTGGAGTATTCAGATAAAGAAATCTACATTTATTAATGTACAAAATTGCACACTTATTCAAATTCAGTCATGTCATCATCTGTAACAACATCATAACTCTCTAAATCCTGAATTCTAGCCTGAATTTCTTGCAACTAAACTTCCCGTAGAACCACTGTCCCCCATCTCTCATATCTGGAAATAAAAGCTTTTCTTAAATTCTAGCTAACAATTTTAACTAAAGCCTATTTTTAGGATAGGGCTTATATTAAAAGCATTCTGAAAAATTATGCTAGGGATTGTTTTTGCGGTTGGCCTTATTCTAGGGGAAACACAGTTCTAACATGTTCCAAAAAATTAACAGGCGGGTTTAAAGAATAAAATTAACTGTGGTTCTTTTGTGTGAAGTCATCATCATCATCATCATTATCATCATCATCATGTTCTGCTCTTTATCTCTCAATGGAGCACAGACTCAACCAACTCATGCCAAGTTATTTTACTATCACAGTAATCCTTTCAATTTTTTAACTTTACTATCTAGCTACTTTCTCTGTGTTTGTAGTTGTTGTTGTCTACCTTTATTTTTATGCATTTGTTGGTTTCAGTGCACAGACAATCTAGTTAACTGTTCTCAGATTTTCTCAAAGGGTGATTCACCGATTGATTCACTGGAATTTGTTTAGTTCTCTCCCAAAGTTTAATATTATTGATGATTTTATCATACCATTTAAATCCCACTATTCTGTGCAGACCATTTTCAAGTTATAAATATGTATAAGTGCTTGTCAGTACCTGACAAAGTCTCCGGAAGGATCTGCTCGCTTGCCAAACCCAACAGGACAGTAACAGTGGAAAAATTGCTGGAAAAATGCAGAACATGACAGCCACATCCACATTCCAGCATTGACGCTCCAGTCTGCATCCAGCAACATCTCATCGAACACCTTGAGAACAACCAGTCAAGAATATGTTATTGCATGTTGTATACTTTCTTAATCTGCTGCATAAGTAAACGAAGGTAAAGAACCCTTTTCTACATTTCAAGTATATTGAGAATATATATTATAAACTGATGGGCACTTGGTGAGGAATGTGGTCAACATCATGCTGGCCACCTTTACTTCCCATGACTGTACCGGCACTCATTTAAGGCCAGGTCAACTTGAGAGCCGGGGTCATTTTTTTCAAAAAGTCAGGTTCCGTTCGGATTCGAATCCATGATCTTTGCATCTGCATAAATGATGCTACTACAAAATCGTGGGTGCCAGTTTGCTGCATAGTAAGAATAAATAAGGAGCCGTTGTCCTTGATTCAATGTGGATTCGAACACATGACCTTTTAGTCAGCAGGCAAATGTCTAGCCACTATGCTACTGTGGCTGCTATGCTATAAATAAGCACAACAGAATTTATGTCCTTAACTGAACATAGAAGATGCCTTGTGGGAGGGTTCAGACCCACTGCCTCGTAGGTGGGGTGGCGGGGCAGGCAGGGCGGGGGGGGGGGGGGGGGGGGTTAAGGACAGACGCATGTCATAGAAGGTAAAAAATCTGTTTAAAAAATGAAAGACATCGATTTCCAATAGTGCTTTCCTGTTAAAAAATAGAAACACATAGCTACTGAAAGGAACATAATTTTGGCAAAATTGTGACAGTCAAAATCTTAATAATTTAATGACTAAGAAATAAAGAACCAACAGTCTGCATATATATGTCAGATCTGTAAAATGAATGTGCATGCACAACTCAAGTAGAAAACGATTAAAGTCTACAAGTGGATGACAACCAGAACTTACAGCCAGAATTTACAGCTGAAAAAGAAGAAGAAAACACAGAAGGATGAAAAAAAAACAATACAAGTAAAATGCACACAATATACAGTCAATAATTCAAAATGTAAAACAGACTGCTAAGTTTGTATTCAAGAAGTATGTATTTGTTGTTCTTAGTTAAACATGTCTAGAAAGCAACTTTGTACCTTCATGCCTTCCTCCCAGGATATCCACAGGTCCCCACGCGTGAGGAAACACGCTACAGCATGTCGAGCCAGATGGTGAATCCAACCTTCCTTTCGAAGCTGAACCATGATGGCATCAATCCAGGGAAATCCTGTCAGGCCCTGATAGAAGACACACATATTTATATAAGCGGCGGCAAAATGGAAAACTGGGAAATTGATGAGGCCTCCAACAGTAAAGATACATAGATATATATCTAGGTATCCACTGACACTCATTATAGCCACTGTTGCAGAAGTTGACACAGGCAATAACATGATTGAAATGTAAATATTAACTGACAAAGAAAGTATTTGAGGAGTCATAAGACAATGAGGCAACCACTAGTTACACTGGGAATGCCCAATGTGCAATGACATCTACTGTGATAACATAAAATAACATAAAAAACACAACACTAATAAAACAAAGAATATGATGACATCTTGAGAAGAAACAAAACAAGCGTAGAATCACCAGACATGCACTAAAAGGGACTGATGAAGTGACGACACCCCCCCCCCCCCCCACCCCCCAAAAAAATGAATGTTGATAAGAGAGGTCAAAGGTGCTAGACTGGAATCCATCCATGATATCAAAGGGATTACTCGGGACAGCATGGAATGGAGGAATAGACAGCAAGCCCTGTGTAACATATAATGGCACATCAGAACAATGATGATGATGATGATAAGACAATAAAATGTTTGACACCAAAATGCATGCCTAATTTAACACTGCAGTTGCTATGACTATTATCATCCATGCCTTCATGGTGATTTTTTCTGGTAATGAATATCTCGCAATTTGATATAAAGTTTATATCTTCCTGGGAAATGGCTTGGAGCCTTGTGAAAAATGTACATCTAAAACTGTTATTGGTTCTAGCTAATCTGCTTGTGATAATATGCGTCTTTGCAATACATATTTGCTTTATGAACTTGTAGAGAGGAAGAAAGAGCACTGCTGTACAGTTTCCATGACTGTTCTTTGTTACCATGTCAACACGAAACCTGTATACTACTCTCTGCAAAAGGTTTAGGCTTTTTCCCTAGGTTTAAACGACAGGAATTCCAATGCAAAGAATTTAAAGTTAAAATTCATTTTTCATCACAGTTTCATCAAACTAACATTCAATTCATTTTTTTACAGTCTCTGCATTTAGTCTAAACTGGGTTTCCCAAGGGAACACAACATATCACAGTCCCTTACCAAGGACAGAAATGGAACAAAGAACAAAGCCAAATAGAAAACTACTGATAGAGAAGTCTGGCGATCTCTGGCAAACCTCTGCACCTCAAGGGTAGAAGAGGATCAACCAAGTAAGTAAGATTTAAGACTACAGGTTTATTTTTTAGTTACCTCCGCCCATTTAGCCAAAGCCTCTGGGTTGTGTTCCCAGGGAATCTGTACACAGATAGAGTTGCCGACCATGCGGTCAAAGTTTGGATTGTTTGTAGCCACAGTGTAGAAAAACTCCCTCCACAACAACTGACCATGTAAGGCGAGTGGGGGATCTACTCCTTTCTTAACCTGTAATTGAGATCAACATTTACTTCATTAATTATTTCAGTACCAAACAAAATATTATGCATAACTGCTTTTCCCTCTAAACTCCAATCATCATGTGTTATCATAGAATTTGCATTTGGTCAGAGGACACTAAAGATAACTGGCTAGTCCAATAGCAATTTCCGCACATAAAAAAAAAAAAACAACTGGAATTTAGCAGAAAATGCTCTTAGGTATTTTCATAATGGTATTTTTCTTGTGTGCCATCTCCACTAAACATCTCTGAAACTAAAAGAGTTAACATCTAGGCAAACAGTTATCTCAGTAATATTAGGTCAGGAAATATTAATTGTTTGCAACCTTTTTTTTTTTAATTGTCCATCCTGCAAATCCTGAGCTTGTGTATTTTGGCCTAATACCAGGTAGTGATTTCTGCAACTGTTAGCTGTTGTTTGTTCAATATGAAGTGTACCTTTATCTTACTTTGGTGGAAGTTGTAATTTTCTGATATCTCTAGAAGCAGGGTTCTTGAAGAGCTGATATTCAACAGTTATATAAATGCTTAAATATAAAGGATCATTTTCTTCCATTGTTAAACCAGCCAGAAGTCTACGGCTCAAATCCACATCAAGGAAAATGATCTGAATATTTATCTTGGCTCCCAGGTTGACCAAACCTAAAATATCCTGGGAAATAAAGGTGACTGGCATGATGTTGACCACATAAGACATCTAGGGCCAATTATTCTATAAAAATATGTGTCTAGCTTCATATGCCTGGTGTGCCACTGGTGTTAAAAGAGTCCGTTACCTTTATAATAACAAAAATGTAACAATATATATAATGAGTTTAAAATTGTTTTTATTTTTCATTTTTTAAATTTCTTAAAGGCATATTATTTTTTTAATTTGTATGAAGTACAGGACACAGCAGATTTTGCCAACATTTTATGGTGTAGGAAAACATGGAGATGTGTCTCTGCAATTTAAAAATGCTGAGCATGTGCTCCAAAACTATCAACTGTATGCTGTCAACAGAGAGGCAATCTGGCCTGTTCTGACCTCGGTAAATATAAAGCTGTATGATACACAAGGAGATTTTGTCTTCACAACAGCTTTCAAAAAAGGCTACTGGCTTCTTTATATGTTTTTCTGATAGAAGGGTAAAAAAAAACAATTTTAATGAAAATTGCCCAGACAATTGCTCACCTTCTTGTACAACTCTGCCAGTTTCCAGTAAAATGTACGAGGGGACAAACAGCCAAATCTAAGATAGGGACTCAGACCTGTTCCACTTGGATATAGTGACTGGGGACTCATCTTTGGCCTCTCAAAACTGGCAACCCATGCCTGAAAAATAGTTAAAGACAAGGCTAATAATTGCAGTAGTAATGATAGCAACAATGAGATGGAGAATAAGTAGTAATGAGAGAAGTAAAAGACTGTTAATGAGACTGTTAATAAGTGAGTTAATAATAGCAAAGGTATTGAGGGTGGTAGTGATAGTGGTAGAGAGGCTCATTAATTCTTTTAATCAGTCATCAGAAGAGAAAACAATTTGTATAAATAGTATACAAATCACTACACAAACGCACAAATATATATACACACACAGACACACACACACACACACGCACCACACAGATGCAAACAATCACTGAAAAATTGACTTACTTTTCTTTCTAAATGTCTGTAAAGTCTTGCTAGTGCCTCAGATTCTCCACCACGAAACTGTGCTGGACCCAAAGTGTCGGTGTCAAAACCTGAGGGTGAGATGTCTGATTTATTAGTGTACGAGCACAAGCTGACATATCCTAGGTTTTTTTTGCGGTGCGCTGTGGTTTACAGCACTAGCATTTGTTTTCAGGCATCTTTCTTCAGAATTACTGTGATGTGAACTGGCACCATTTTAGTACACTTTTTGTTAAGTACTGGCATCTTTATTAAATTTTAAAAAAAAGCCCTGGAATACTGGCTGTGGTTTAGTAGTTAGTGCACATCCTTGCTAAGTTTGTGGTAACAATTTGAGCTGAGTTGATTCAAGAACCAACAATACAGCACTGGGGTCATTCCCATAAGCTCTCTGTTCCCATCTTCAGCAGCCAGTGCAGTGTTTCAATACCAACAGACACACACAAATCTTTGCTGGCCACACTTCAGAAACTTTATAAACTGACCCCCTAAATATAATATAATAGCCTATCTAATATATGAGCACAATAAACGGTAACTCCGAGTGTTTGGGAACTTACCCAGCTCATCTAACGATGGGACACTGAATCTGTCGTCATGATCATCTGCAACAGGTGTGCTCACATTTACCAACATCTGTCCTGTGAGAGTTTCACATGGCTGGCGTGGAGGTTCCAACGTGGCCAGAATGGATTGGAATCGTTTATATGTCAGAGGTGGACTGTTGCCATTGGCTGCGATGACTCTGTTGATAAAGCAGTAGAAACACAATTTATGTACAACTGGGAATCAACAGATGTGACATCAAAAGACCAAGTTTAATAGCTGAGCAGTAAGTTGTTGAGCAGCTAAGGGAGTTGATGCTCAGTTAGGAGACATGGTTGCTGAATAAATAAACAAACTTCATTTCCAAATGTTAATAATTGGGCTTGCAGACCCATCTTAATTTCTTCTTCTTTGCATTCGCCAGCTGTAAATGCTAGCAAAAAGTTGTGGTTGTTGTCCACTTCTGGACTTTAGTTTTGTTCCAGAACTTGAGTTTTGCATGCACATTTTTAATAAAAGATCTGGCTTAATTTTGTGTATGCAGAACTGTTGTTCTCTCGCCTTTCAGGCAGATGTACTCTGACTTCAAAGGAAACAGGAAACACCCGAATTAGTTGACTTTTACAACATGCTTGTTAGAGGGGCAGCTGGTCTATTATTCTCTCCCACCCCCCTCAATGGGGTCCCAGAACCCACATGGGTACAGACCCACCTAACGTTAACTGCCATTCTGGCCTCATTCCTTTCATATACAATTTCGTTCTTTAAGTACTCAGCCTTAAGTAAGTACTAGGTAAACTCCTGGGAAGTGAAGGCAACCTGCATAATGTTTACCACTTCACCCATCGAGAGTCAACTGATCTGTCAAGATATGAGTCTGGTCACTTGATGATGGTGATGATGTTGATAGTATATTTCTATTCAACACAAAATATCCAGTATGTTTATAAAAAGCCATGGTAGATTTTACTAAAGAAACAAGGCAGTAATAAACAAGAAGAAATTATGACAGAAATGATGATGGAGAGAATGCAGGCATTATGTCACACCCACAATTAGCATCAATGTCAACCACAAAAATTGCACCTTGCACAACCACCAAAAGCAAAACAACCCATTATTTTGGACTGCAATAATTGCAGCACTAATGAGGTATAACGTTAATTTATGCAGTTCCCACCAGCAAGCTATATTTCAAGTTCAAGGTGCAGCCAAATGTGACAGGCATATGTGATGTAATACCTCATTACAGGGGGTCTCTCAAGCACATACATTCTGCCCCAGTATGGGAAACCATTTTTTCTTTTTTTTTAAAGCACCAGCCTGGCTGTCATAATATAACCTTACGGTGATATTTCACACTCCACCTCAGTATGTTATGGCTTAGAATACAGAAAGGCTTGGCACTTCACCTCAGTATGTTATGGCTTAGAATACAGAAAGGCTTGGCACTTCATCTCAGTATGTTATGGCTTAGAATACAGAAAGGCTTGGCACTTCACCTCAATATGTTATGGCTTAGAATTCAAAAAGACTTGACACTTCACACTCCACTTCAGTATGTTATGGCTTAGAATGCAGAAAGACTTGACACTTCACACTCCATCCCAGTATGTTGTAACTAAGAATATGTCATGGCTAAACACTTCACGTTGGTATCTGTGGCTTAGGCATTGCGAACACGAGTTGGAATGTCGGGTGCCAGATTCTATCCCATGTGCGGCCAATTTGTCTTGCATTGGTTTCAACAGTGGTTGTTTGTTTTGTTTGTTTTAGTATCCAGAAGCCATAAGTTGTTAACCTTTAGACTTGGTATTATTGATTCGCAACCTTTCGGCCTTGATTCCATTGTAAATACCGTAAATCTGGGAGAAAATGTGGCTTTTCTGCCTACCCCTGGGAGTGAACCCAGACCACAAGGAGTTTGTCACCCGGTCACCGCACAATCCGGTTTAGCCAACTATGCTAGAGATCCGGACTCAACAGTAGTAACGAGAGCAATGGAAAACTATTGAACGTAAAATGTGCCTGCAAAACAATGACAGCCAAAAAATGCTGGTGTTGGTTCTGCAACGTCCTGTAAAGGATGCTAACTTTAAACACTTCACGCTCCACAAAACTATGTCGTGGCTGAACACCGTATCTCCCTATGTCATGGCTTAGAACACTTCATAATGACTTGAAAGCTACTTTCCTGTAGGCGAATGAAGCACTCCTAGCCCAGTCAATTATTACAACAGTTTGGGTAAAATGCACCATTAAACAGACAGCCTCTACTTTCCCCATAGGGGCTTGTCATGTGACTTGTAAATGGTAAATGTTTAGCCTGACACATATGTTCAGCAGTAGGCTGACGTCAATCAACTAATGAGAGCATAATGAGCTTGTGAACACAGCCATCAATCATGTGAATAATAGTAGTGTTTAGTTGTAGTATTGACTTTGGTCTCGGTGGCGAAGTGGTGAAGCCGTTTTTCTTTAGCTCTGATGGTCACCGGTTCGTTTCATGGCTGTGTCAGTAGGTTCATGAGTGCATTTTGTTACAGAGATACCTGGGGATCAACACCAGAGCTACAGAGTTCATGCTTTGTGTGAATGCTCTTGGCAGGTAGCTAGCAGTTTTATGGCGAGAGACTTAGCCAAATGGGACAAAACTTGGGACAAAGAAGTCGATCCTGTTGACTATAACTTCAATATCCTGTTTCATCCTTAGGTTTGCATTCAGGTCAGTTAAAAAGTGGATATCACATCTCTTGTAATTGTCTCCGAAGAGTTCCATGCCTATCTTCAGCAGCCAGAGAAGAGCTCCAGTTATAACAGTACCAGAAGCAGTTTGATTGTATGCGATTAATTTTCTGCTTTATTTTTGTTTTGGTCCTAAATATGGGTTCCAGTGCAAAGACATTCAAGTAATATTACTGTGAGTTTTATTAAAATGTATTCTATCCAGTATCAGATCTTTTCCTTACCTCTTTATTCATCAGAAGGTGTTTAGTTCTCTCTCAACGCTACAAATTAGTGTACCATCATACTACTTAATTCCCTTAATATCTTGGACAAAGAAGATGAGAAATATTGACATCTTAAAAGAACTGAACATCAAGGAAGACTGGCTAATAAACAGCATCCATTCTCGAAAGTTGAAATATTTTGGTCATATCAAGCGCCACAATGGATTGGAAAAAAATATAGCAGAAGGCATGGTACCAAGAAGGAGGGACAGGGGCCGACCAACACGAAGATGGGCACAGGATATAAGTGACTCCTTGAGTGTGAAAGTACATGAGGCAGGAGAACTGGCGAGAGGCCGAGTTTCTTTCAGGTAGACTGTGATGAGAGCGACGTTCTGCAAAGGACCTGCTACATGATGATGATGACATGTTTAATTAATGCTAGTAGTTTAATGAATGAACTTGATCACATGTTATTCTGTCATGTGCACCCGGTATAATTGTTATTCATTAAGTTATCTTCTATAAGTCTGGTTCATGCTGAAAATAATTTCACAAGAAGTTGCCTGTAACTACTTTTCAGTAACTGAGATTTTTTTCTACAAACAGAGAACAAACAATTTCAGATAATCAAAGTAGTGTTTCCCTGATGTGAATTTGAATAAAGAAGACACAAACAATAGACTGCACAATTTATTATTTATTCAGTTTCTAGGATTCAGCTATTTGCTTCATTTTAATCAATTGTTACTGTAGTGTGCACCTGACAAGATACAGCGAAATATGCCAGGCAATAAATTGTGCTGTCTATTGTTTGTGTCTTCTGTGTTCAAACTAACACTTCCTCAGTACTCACATCTTGGGGTCATAAAGTGTATGTGATGATTTAGCAATAACCTGGATGTTGAATTCCCTAACCATGGCTGAGATTGCAGCATCTCTTTCTTTGCCATATGGCTCTGGATCTTCTTCAAATGCCAATGTGTTGATGCCCCATTCCTGTCACAAAAAATAGCAATTATTGTGCAATAAAATTCTCAACACAAACCTAAAAATTCAGAATGATTTATAAAATCAGCCTGCTGTTTTTTTATTTTTTAAATCATTGAGCACTCAATTTTTTTTTTTGACAGTCTACAGATGTAGAAAATGTAAAAAAAAAAAAAAAAAAAAAAAAAAAATATATATATATATGTATATATATATATATATATATATATATATATATATATATATATATATATATATATATATATATATATATATATATGCAACTTTAAATGCTGCTTATTGTTAACAAAACAATGAAGATATAAAATACATTGCAGTACTTGAAAATAAATCCAAGAACAACAGCAGGTTATGTGAAGTTTTACAGACAACAGTAGGTTATTTCAAACGTAACCAACCTGGAACAATCTCGGCAAGACGTCTGCTGGCTGACCTCTGACCACAAAAAGGCGACTGTTCAATTTCCTCAAGCTGCTGTCCAAATCTTCCAAACATTCCAATAAGAATCTGCAATATGAACACAAAACCAAAGCTAGGCGTGTAGCCTCTACAGGACATATGAACACAAAACCAAAGCTAGGCGTGAAGCCTCTACAGTACATGTGAACACAAAACCAAAGCTAGGCGTGAAGCCTCTACAGGACATATGAACACAAAACCAAAGCTAGGCGTGAAGCCTCTACAGTACATGTGAACACAAAACCAAAGCTAGGCGTGTAGCCTCTACAGTACATCGCAAGCAATCCTCGAATTTATTGTCGACTATGTGTGGTTAGGTGCTTTGCCCAACAACAACAAAATCGTTACATTCAACCAGCATCCCCTAAGGGGGGAACTTAAGGTTATAACTGTGACAAGGTGATATGCGCCATATAAAACTGCTTATCATTGCCCGCCACCAAGAGGCCTGAAAAAGACCCCTGCAGTGTTGGTCAGTGACCTCCGCCAAAAGATTGACGGCCGTGATGGGATCATAGGAGACAGACACAAATACTGTTCCAACTGGCGACGAAGTCGTCTACCGACCAGCCAATGATAGACCCATTCTTCGAAGCGATTGTGTGTGGTTTCACTGGGCGGTTTTATATTTTGTAGTCTCTGAATGTGTCTCCACGCCCCCCCCCCCCCCCTCCCTGTTTGTCTTTTTTACTTTACCAACCACAATAAAGACAAAGCTGTATGGTTCACATGGAGATATGGACTACACGATAGCTTTCATAAAGGCTACCGGCCTCCTGATATTATAAGTTTTCTGACAGAAGGATCAACAAAAGTTTTTTTAAATTTTAATTTTACAACGGTGCTGGACAAGAGAGAAGGAAAAAGGCGAGGGGCGGGGGTGGAGGGGTGGGGTGGGGGGGGGGGGGTTGTGTTCTTCTTCTCTTCCACCTTGTACCTCAGTGAAGTGTCGGTGGGGAGATGTAATGTACGTTGATGAGCTCTGTCAAGAGCACTATTAAGACTGATGTTCATTTCTGTAATGCCATCACTCCATATTTTCCGAGGTCTTCCACTCGCTCTATACCCGTTGTAACGTTTTAGTGGCACGGTTATAAACCATAAGTGCTCTGCCACCATTACGGACAGCTGATAAGAAACTGTCCGCCTGTGTCGCCGTCTGACTGTAAGGTTAGTTGCGTATCCTTTACAGGACGTTGCAGAACCAACCCCATGTTTTTTCTAGGCAAATTTACGTCCAGTAATTTGCCATTGCCTCTGGACGGTCGGTTACTTGATACCACTGTCGAAACCAACGCAAGGCGCATGGCCCGTAGCTGGGATCGAACCCGGCACCACGGCATTACGAAGTGTTCGCATCGACTTAGCCACAGAGCCGACCGCTTGACTGTGCTAGACTTAAATGCGCCGGGAGATAGTCCACGACTCAAATCCGTAAACTGCTCAAAGGAAGATCCATCCTCTCCACATTGTAACTATGATTTTCTTTCAGGTGATTAACTGCAGATTACAGTACAATTGGCAGATCCGGATTCAGCCCGTGCACACTTATTTGCTTGCCTGCGGATCGGGAGGTCGTAGGTTCGAGTGCTAACGGAGCCAGACTTTTTTAATTTCAGAAATTACACTGGGTCAACCCAGCCTTGAGTGGGTACCAAGTGCAGTCCTAGGAAGTAAAGGCGACCGGCGTGACCCACCAATGCTAAGGTTTATAAAATATAGGTCTTCGCATTATTTGCCTAATACGCCTCAAGTCGTGAAAAGGGTCCTGTACTTTTGCCTTACACTAACCATTCCTGTGTGTTCAGTTAATGCACTGACTGTTTTCCGATAGAAAAGCCAGAATGTTGAATGTTGAATTGAGAATCGACATCACATAGCACTCGGGACATTCCCATAAGTGCTCTGTCCTCAGCTTCAGCAGCAAGCGAAAAGTTCCAATTCCGATGGTACCAGTAACCGTCTGATTGTATATCCGTCTCATCCTCCCCCTGAGTGTTGAGCGTCGGCCACTTCCACTGGTAATCCCTCGCAACGCCATTCTCCTTAGATTGTAGAAAAGCAAGAAATGCATACTGACCTATTATGTCTAACCAATAAGCGAATGGTGTGTGGCATATTTTGAGAGAGAGAGAGAGAGAGAGAGAGAGAGAGAGAGAGAGAGAGAGAGAGAGAGAGAGAGAAAGAGAGAGAGAGAGAGAGAGAAGAGAGAGAGAGAGAGAAAGAGAGAGAGAGAGAACTGCTGTCACCTCCATGAGTTGATTCGTACTTGCAAGATATATTATAAACAAATAGACACGTATTGATCGGCACTCATAAAAGAAGTAGAGAGATAGAAGAACACGCTGGACAACATAAACATCGAAAGCTATAGCAACATTCCTGGAATCAAACCTGCAACCTACAAATGACGAAAGCGCCTTGCTGGAGAAACAAGTGCACTAATACGCATGACCATCTAGACCCCCACATTAAAGGTGTCTTTATTAGCCATGTCTGTTGTACAGCTTGAATTTGCAACTATTGAATACAGAGTTCATCTCGGACCATTAAGAAAGCACCTGGGGTTACATAATTTCATATTAAGTATAGGAAAAAAAACAAGCATAACACTGCGGACGGTGAAATAAGGTAACTCACATTCTAAGTTACTACTGCCCTCAAAATGACCAACCAACATGCGGCAGGGGCTTAAGGAATTTCAGCCATTTTCACTTGTATGTAGAGTGACCATAACATCTTGAGCTGAAAACGGGACATCCAGCTAATAGTGTTAGCTTAGAACGGGACATCCAACTAATATTGTGAGCTTAGAACAGGACATCCAACTAATATTGTGAGCTAAAAACGGGACATCCAACTAATATTGTGAGCTAAAACGGGACATCTAACTAATAATGTGAGCTAAAACGGGACATCCGACTAATAATGTGAGCTAAAACGGGACATCCAACTAATATTGGGAGCTTAGAAAGGGACATCCAACTAAAAATGTGAGCTAAAACGGGACATCTAACTAATATTGTAAGCTTAAAACGGGACATCCGACTAATAATGTAAGCTAAAACGGGACATCCAACTAATATGGTGAGCTTAGAACGGGACATCCAACTAATAATGAGAGCTAAAACGGGACATCCAACTAATATTGTGAGCTTAGAACGGGACATCCAACTAATAATGAGAGCTAAAACGGGACATCCAACTAATATTGTGAGCTTAGAACGGGACATCCAACTAATAATGAGAGCTAAAACGGGACATCCAACTAATATGGTGAGCTTAGAACGGGACATCCAACTAATAATGAGAGCTAAAACGGGACATCCAACTAATAATGAGAGCTAAAACGGGACATCCAACTAATATTGTGAGCTTAGAACGAGACATCCAAAGCAATTTTGTTTTTTTTTACTCACCCTAAAGACATATTCTCGAATGTATTAATTATTATCAATCATCAAGGAACTGATACATTCTAAGAACTTATTTCTAGACTTCCGAGTCACTCCTGAAACAGGAATGTCTCGGTGAAAACGGGACATATGGTCACGCTACCAGTATGTTTTGATCCCTAACTGTGAGATATATAACATACAAAAGCGACTTAACTATGCTTACCTCCACTTGTTGATTCCTACTTGCGATGCCCCGGCAAACCAGGGGTCTAAAATATAAACACATCGATATGTTGTGGCGTTTTCTATTGCAGCAATCAAGGCCGGGTTGTCATGCAGACGTAATCCCTTCCTAAACCAGAATAGGGTGTGCCGTTTTGTACCATGAGAATGCAGCTGTGTTTGGGACATGAAATGCTCGTTAGTATTGTCCTTCATTTTGTAGTTGCACACGATGCTGATAATAACAAATAATTAAACAGCTGTTATCATTATAATTGAATGAGAAATTATAATTGACCCTTGTCCGGCAAAAACGAATGAACGCAAAATATGTATGGGAAATCGGACTGTTTGGAACAGTACTCTTAGTTAGAGGATTATGCAGGAAAACGACACGGGAAACTAAGAAAATTGTATGTTACGTGCGAAGAGTTATGTATGGCCAGTGATGCACAAGCTAAGCTCATGATAAAACAGCGAGGACGGCAACGTGACTTAAAAATAGCATTGGTGTGTAGCGATTGGCTGGCTGCGGTCACATGGTGGGTGAGCAGGCACGTGTCTGGTGGCATGTACTTACGGACGTCATGTCTGCCCGGCTTGCCTTAGTGAATGATAGTTTACCTGGGAACATATTATCTGTTGTGTCCAGGTATTGCGCTTCTAGTTTTCTTTAGCCGAGAATAAAGACAAAATGTGTATTGTTATATGTTTGCGAAGTGTATATGTGCACTGCATTAAACACAAACACCTGCATCTCCTAGTGAGTAAAGTAACAGTAAAATCACTGTTTGTTATGTTTGTGACGAATGCTTATCATCCTATTCTGTCTCTTTCTGGAAATGTTTATCTCTTCATTATCGATTTTAATACATGGTTGCAGTGCTGCATTCATTGTAGAAATTTTTTTATTTTTTCAAACTCATAAAAAATTTATATTTATTTACACAGAGAAAAGAAAAAAAAAATACTATATATATATATATATATATATATATATATATATATATATATATATATATATATATATATATATATAATATATACTGGGAGCCTCTGCGGTGTAGTGGGTTAGAGGCTCGCCTGCGGATTCAAAGGTCGTGGTTTGACAGAGAAAAGGTAGCGGAACCAGTGCTCGATATTCTGTAATCTGAAATCTTAGATTGCCCATGTCCCCATCGATCCATCTCAGTCTAAGTAGAACTCTGCCCGTGCTAGATTTAAAAATAAGATAAATAAGCTATATCTTCGGCTCGCACAACCCACAGAGGACTAAACAAAAATCCCCTCTCCCTCCAATGGATTTTTACCTTTGAAAAATCAAGAACAAATGTCTTCAGTTGTAAATTAAAGCCTTGTAGGGGACTCAACTCGTTCAATGTTATTTCTGTGATTTTGCATAGTATTTATTATTTATGTTAACAATTAAACGACAGCATATTTCCATTATCCATCTATTTAATATGTGTATATAGTTTATAAAGTGTATCAGATTTTATGGTGTAGTTTAAAACGCTAGGGACTTTAGGGTTTTAAAAAGCTTAGGGCCTAATTAGGTTTACATTTGACCTTGCCTCTGCCTTATTTGTGTTTCTGTTGTTATGCGGCACGCTTTCTTTGCCGGCATTGTTGGATTCGGTGGGGCGAACTATAGTCTTTGTTTCTCTATAAATTATTTGACGATGGGTATCCCCCCCCTCCCCCCCCTTTCCCCCCAAAAGTTCTTCTGATATCTTCAGTTTTCACACCATCTCCCTGGTTTTTGTCTGCAGCCTTCCGCAGACATTTTTTAGGTGGCCAGTTTTCTCTTGTATGCGTTTTTTTTTTTTTTTAAATTATTGTCCAAGTCTGACACTGGCAACCCAAAGTTACAATTATAAATTGTATTTTTAATTTTCTTGTTATCTCTGTTTCAGTAGACTGGGTGGGGAGGGAAGGGGTGGGGGGTGGGGAGGAGGTGAGGGGGAGGAGTGACATAGCTAACTTCTTACCTTCTTATGTCTGTCTCTCTGTCTAGGTCATCCATCATTAAAAAGGAAACCGTTAAAAGATTATTTCGCGTTATTTTAGCAGATATAATTCCTTTTATAATATACTACATTTTGAACATATCAAGCCAACACTTTTTTGTTCAGAATTCTTTTGTAATAAAGGCACAGTTTAATTTTTGGCTTCAGTTATTGATAAAAGCTTGTATTTCTACAAAAATCTGGGCTTTTCGTCAGCGAGTTTCATAACCAGAGAATTAAAATAATCGATACAGACAATAACAGACAGACAGAAGACAGCGCCCATGTCCAGTAAACGCCAGACAACAAATGCTTATTTTTAGCATAAATCTAGGAGTGCAGGAACCTGGTTAGCACAGTCGCTAGCACGCCCACCTGTCAGTCTGGCGGGCTGAATTCGAACACCTAGTCTATGGTTTTCAAGCGATTTTGTGGTCTAAGAAAAATCAGGAAGATCACAAATGAAGATATTTTTACATTCTCGGACCTATCATATTTCAACGTTTCTTCTTCTTCTTCTTCTGCCTTTCTAGCCCCCAATGGAGCATAGGCCCTCAACCAACTCACGCCAAGTCTTCTATCCTTCGCCATTGCATGGAGCTCTCCCCATGTCCTCCCCTCTTTCTAACTTCATTCTCCAACTCTCTTTTCCGTGTGTTTTTTGGCCTTCCTTTATTCCCATGCCCTTGTCCAAAGCAAAGATATTTTAGTTATGCTGTTCTCCTGTTTTCTCAGTGTGTATCCTATCCAACGCCAGCGTCTTTTCCTCATCTCTTGGTCCACTTGGGCTTGTTTAGTTCTCTCCCAAAGCTCTACTTTAGTTATTCTATCATACCATTTAATTCCCTCTATTCTGCGCAGGCACCAGTTAATGAATGTCTGTAATTTATTAGTGATTGCCTAGTTGTTCTCCATGTTTCACATTAGAATGAACATTTTTTAGTTTAGTTTAGTATTTCTTTTAATTTCTTTTGACCATTTCAACGTTTCACTGGTATTAATTTGGAAGAGTAAATGGATCACAACAGTCTGGGGAGACTGATGCAGCGAGGAGTATCTTGGCGATACTCGACGTTCAAAGGCGAGGTTAGACGGACACATAATTAGACTGTCACTGGCACCATTAGTATTGGAATTCTGCGCTGGCTGCTGAATATGGGGACGGAGCACTTATGGGAGTGCCCAAAATAGTGTGCTGTCGGTTATTGAATTAATACAGCTCACTGCTTAATTTGGACATCAAAGACGTTTTACATTTAAAACAATGAAATCACTACGGTGTATAACGGTATGACAGCCTTAGCACTTGCGCGAGACAGGGGATAGAACGGAACCTCATTACAAATGACTCATACCAGGACAATCCAATAAGGATATAAATAAAGACATGGATTTCAAGGACAGACGACAGGACACGATATCTTAGGAATAAAACCACTACATAAGATAACAGAAGAGCAGTATAGTTACAACGAATAGGGCACTAGAACGAAAAATAATTACAAATGAAATGCGTTGTCTCCGCAAGGTCGCTTACAACACAGGACGAGACAGGGTAACGAATACCAGCATTAGAGAGAAAGTCGGAATAAAACCATGTCTGGGTTATACTGACGTATAGAATGAAATGTTTCGGCCATGTTGTTGAGACTGCAATCAGACCAATCTGCATATGAGACTTTTTACAGCAGAAGAGAGGAAGACCAAGAAAGAGACGGATAAATGGTGGAGCAGAGACCTGCAAAAAGATGAACAAACCCATCACCCAAACAATCCGAGAAGTGCAAGACAAACACAGAAAACCACCACACTGGGCTAAATCCTGGTATCAGTGAGACGACAAAACCACCACACTGGGCTAAATCCTGGTATCAGTGAGACGACAAAACCACCACACTGGGCTAAATCCTGGTATCAGTGAGACGACAAAACCACCACACTGGGCTAAATCCTGGTATCAGTGAGACGACAAAACCACCACACTGGGCTAAATCCTGGTATCAGTGAGACGACAAAACCACCACACTGTGCTAAATCCTGGTATCAGTGAGACGACAAAACCACCACACTGGGCTAAATCCTGGTATCAGTGAGACGACAAAACCACCACACTGGACTAAATCCTGGTATCAGTGAGACGACAAAACCACCACACTGGACTAAATCCTGGTATCAGTGAGACGACAAAACCACCACACTGGACTAAATCCTGGTATCAGTGAGACGACAAAACCACCACACTGGACTAAATCCTGGTATCAGTGAGACAACAAAACCACCACACTGGGCTAAATCCTGGTATCAGTGAGACGGCAAAACCACCACACTGGGCTAAATCCTGGTATCAGTGAGACGACAAAACCACTACACTGGGCTAAATCCTGGTATCAGTGATACGACAAAACCACCACACTGGGCTAAATCCTGGTATCAGTGAGACGACAAAACCACTACACTGGACTAAATCCTGGTATCAGTGAGACGACAAAACCACCACACTGGACTAAATCCTGGTATCAGTGAGACGACAAAACCACCACACTGGACTAAATCCTGGTATCAGTGAGACGACAAAACCACCACACTGGACTAAATCCTGGTATCAGTGAGGCGACAAAACCACCACACTGGACTAAATCCTGGTATCAGTGAGGCGACAAAACCACCACACTGGACTAAATCCTGGTATCAGTGAGACGACAAAACCACCACACTGGACTAAATCCTGGTATCAGTGAGACGACAAAACCACCACACTGGGCTAAATCCTGGTATCAGTGAGACGGCAAAACCACCACACTGGGCTAAATCCTGGTATCAGTGAGACGACAAAACCACTACACTGGGCTAAATCCTGGTATCAGTGATACGACAAAACCACCACACTGGGCTAAATCCTGGTATCAGTGAGACGACAAAATCACTACACTGGTCTAAATCCTGGTATCAGTGAGACGACAAAACCACCACACTGGACTAAATCCTGGTATCAGTGAGACGACAAAACCACCACACTGGGCTAAATCCTGGTATCAGTGAGACGACAAAACCACCACACTGGGCTAAATCCTGCTATCAGTGAGACGACAAAACCACTACACTGGGCTAAATCCTGGTATCAGTGAGACGACAAAACCACCACACTGGGCTAAATCCTGGTATCAGTGAGACGACAAAACCACCACACTGGGCTAAATCCTGGTATCA